TAAAGAATAAAGAGGAATAATGAAATATAGAATAAAAAGAATGAATAAACAATAAAGAATAAGAATGAATAAAGAATAAAGAGAATATAAATGAATAAAGAATAAAGAGGAATACGGAATATAGAATAAGAATGAATAAAGAATAAAGAGGAATACGGAATATAGAATAAGAATGAATAAATGAATAAAGAGGAATACGAATATAAATGAAAGAATAAGAATAAAGAATAAGTTGAATAAAGGAATATAATAAAGAGAAAGAATAAGAATCTGGAATAGAATATGAAAAATATGAAAAGAATAGGAGAATAAATGAATAAAGAATAAATACGGAATATAGAATAAGAATGAATAAAGAATAAAGAGGAATACGGAAATATAGAATAAGAATGAATAAAGAATAAAGAGGAATACGGAATAACAAGAATAATAAAAGAGGAATACGGAATAAAGAATAAAAAGAATAAGAAATAAGATAAAAAGAATAAGGAATAAAAGAATAAAGATATAGGAATATAGAATAAGAATGAATAAAGAATAAAGAGGAATAAAAGGAATATAGAATAAGAATGAATAAAGAATAAAGAAGAGATGAATAAAGAATACGGAATATAGAATAAGAATAAAGAATAAAGAGGAATACGGAAATATAGAATAAGAATGAATAAAGAATAAAAGAGAATACGGAATATAGAATAAGAATGAATAAAATAAAATAAAAAGAGGAATACGGAATATAGAATAAGAATGAATAAAGAATAAAGAGGAATACGGAATATAGAATAAGAATGAATAAAGAATAAAAGAAGAATACGGAATATAGAATAAGAATGAATAAAATGTAGGAGAATAAAGAGAAAAAGAATAAAGGAATATAATAGAATAAAGAGAATGAATAAAATAAGAATAAAGAAAGAGAGAATACGGAATATAGAATAAGAATAAAGAATAAAGAATGAATAAAGAATAAAGAATAAAGGAATACGAAATATAGAATAAGAAAATAAAGAATAAAGAGGAATACGGAATATAGAATAAGAATGAATAAAGAATAAAGAGAATACGGAATATAGAATAAGAATGAATAAAAGAATAAATAAAGAAATACGGAATATAGAATAAGAATAAAAGAATAAAAAGAAAGAATAAAGAGGAAATAAAAGAATAAAGGAATATAGAATAAATAAGAATAAAGAATAAAGAAATAAAGATATACGGAATAAAGAATAAGAAAAATAAAGAATAAAGAATAAAGGAATACGGAATATAGAATAAGAATGAATAAAAAGAATAAAGAATAAGAATACGGAATATAGAATAAAGAATAAATAAAACGAATAAAAAGGAATAAAGAAATACGGAATAGAATAAATAAAAGAAAAAATAAAAATAAGAAAAAGAGGAAATACGGAATATAGAATAAATGAATAAGAATAAAAAGAATAAAGAGGAATACGGAATATAGAATAAGAATGAATAAAGAATAAAGAGAATACGGAATATATAGAATAAGAAAAAAATAAAGAATAAAGAGGAATACGGAATATAGAATAAGAATGAATAAAGAATAAAGAGGAATACGAAATAGAATAAGTAAATAAAAGAATAAAATAAAGAATAAAGAATAAAACGGAATAATAGAATATAGAAAAAAAAAAGAATAAAGAGGAATACGGAATATAGAATAAGAATGAATAAAGAATAAAGAGGAATACGGAATATAGAATAAAAATGAATAAATAAAGAATAAAGAATAAAGAATACGGAATATAGAATAAGAAAATAAAGAATAAAGAAATAAAGAATATAGAATAAGAATGAATAAAAGGAATATACGAATAAGAAAAATAGAAAAGAAATACGGAATATGAATAAAATAAAGAATAAATATAGAATGAATAAAGAATAAAGAGAATACGGAATATAGAATAAAATGAATAAAGAATAAAGAGGAATACGGAATATAGAATAAGAAAAATAAAGAATAAAAGAGGAATACGGAATATAGAATAAGAATGAATAAAGAATAAAGAATAAATATAGAATAAGTAAATAAAGAATAAAGAGGAATACGGAATATAGAATAAGAAAAATAAAGAATAAAGAGGAATACGGAATATAGAATAAGAATGAATAAAGAATAAAGAGGAATACGGAATATAGAATATAAAATAAAGAATAAATAAATACGAATAAATAAGAAAAATAAAGAATATAGGAATACGGAATATAGAATAGAAATGAATAAAGAATAAAGAGGAATACGGAATATAGAATAGGAATGAATAAAGAATAAAGAGGAATACGGAATATAGAATAAGAATGAATAAAGAATAAAGAGGAATACGGAATATAGAATAAGAAAAATAAAGAATAAAGAGGAATACGGAATATAGAATAAGAATGAATAAAGAATAAAGAGGAATACGGAATATAGAATAGGAATGAATAAAGAATAAAGAGGAATACGGAATATAGAATAAGAATGAATAAAGAATAAAGAGGAATACGGAATATAGAATAAGAATGAATAAAGAATAAAGAGGAATACGGAATATAGAATAAGTAAAATAAAGAATAAAGAGGAATACGGAATATAGAATAAGAATGAATAAAGAATAAAGAGGAATACGGAATATAGAATAAGAAAAA